GAGAGAGAAGGAGGGAGGGAGAGAGAGAGAGAGGGAGGAGGAGAGAGAGAGAGAGAGAGAGAAAGAGAGAGAGAGAGAGAGAGAAAGTATGAATCAATTCTAGGGCCTTTCTTACCATTCTTTCTTGTTCAAGGACACCAGATGGTGTCTGATTATAAACTTCCTTTTTCAGCACTTTGCTGCATTTTTAACTGCCAGGAGACTACAGGCTTAACTTTCTAGTCTTACGTAGAGCTGGCCTATAAAATCCTTCACTTCAGTTGGTCCTATCTCCTCTTGGACCTAGAATGCAGTTTATACTCTCCTTGTCTCTGCTTCCATTTGCTGGGATGTTTCCTTCATTCTAAATGATCCAAATTTTCTATATCCTTTCAGGCCCAATGAAAGTAAGATTTATTTCATCTATCCTATTCTATCTATTTCTGCAGAAAGAATTCTGTACCTTCTTCAAGTTTCTCTAGTATTTATAATCCAAACTGCTCTTTTGACACCTATTTGCTGCCTTGTATTATTTGCTTTTCATATGCATATGTCTTATCTTTTAGATTATTAACATCTTCAGGGCAAGGACTGGGTCATATTTATCACTGTGTCTCTCCCAAGGCACTTAATAAGTGCGTAATAAGTGTCCATTTAAAACACCTCACTTTTATAGTCTTTCCAACGCGTTTTCTCAGCCATTATCTCATTTGATCATTACATCAACACTATGAGACTGGAGGAGCTAGAAATAAGTTATTTTTTCCTTTTGACAGATAAGGACCCTGAAGCCCAAGGTCACACAACTTGTATAGACAGAGACGGAACAGATAATTGCACAGGAAGTTCTGATCCAATTCAAGTCTTCTTTGCATCATTATCCCCTGTGTCCTCCTACCTAAAGACAGCCTGCTGCATCCTTCACCACCTCATTCCCCAAAGTACTTTAGCCAAAGCTTCGTAGTACCATATTGGGGAACTTGAAAAATCTGGGAGACAAAATTTCAGTAGATTTCCCATCAGCTCTGAGTCACCAAAGCATGCTTGCTATTTTGTTCCAAGTGCTGTTTGCTAGGGACAGTATGCCTGAAATTTAATGTTGCTGTGCTACAGAGTTGAGGAAGCATAAATGATTTTTAAAAGCCTTAGAAAATGACAGCAGTTCAATATTAAACATGAAAGGTGGCAGCTGATGAGCTGACCAAGAATATAGAATTTCTTCACTGGACCACACCATTCCTCTATGTCTATTAGTTGAATTCTGTAGCTGGTACTGAAGGAAAAAGTGAAACTCTCCATCTCTCAGCACATCTAAGAGATTCCTTCCCTACCACCAAGGCTATCACCTTCTCTAATGTAAGAGATGTGATATACTTGCGGTTTACTTAGCATCGCATATTTTCTTTTTTTGTATTTTTTTGTAGAGACTGGGGTCGTCTCGCCATGTGGTCCAGGCTGGTCTTGAACTCCTGGGGTCACGTGATCCTCCTGCCTGGGTCTCCCAAAGTGCTGGAATTACAGGCAGGCGTGACCCACCGTGCCCAGCCTAAATATTTTCTTCATTTTAAATTTTTATTTATGGGCCGGGCGCGGTGGCTCAAGCCTGTAATCCCAGCACTTTGGGAGGCCGAGGCGGGTGGATCACGAGGTCAACAGATCGAGACCATCCTGGTCAACACGGTGAAACCCTGTCTGTACTAAAACTACAAAAAATTAGCTGGGCATGGTGGCGCGTGCCTGTAGTCCCAGCTACTCAGGAGGCTGAGGCAGGAGAATTGCCTGAACCCAGGAGGCGGAGGTGGCGGTGAGCCAAGATCGCGCCATTGCACTCCAGCCTGGGTAACAAGAGCTAAACTCCGTCCCAAAAAAAAAAAAAATTATTTATTTATTTATTTATTTTTTGGGTACCATCTTGATTCACTGAAACTTCTGCCTCCCAAGTTCAAGTGATTCTCCTGCCTCAGCCTCATGAGTAGCTGGGAGTAGTGCCTGTAATGTCGGTTACTAGGAAGGCTGGGGCAGGAGAATCGCTCGGGAGGCGGAGGTTGCAGTGAGCCGAGATCCTGCCATCGCGCTCCAGCCTGAGCAACAAGAGCGAAACTCCGTCTCAAAGAAACCAAAAAAACAAAAACAAACAAGTGAATGAAGAATGAGCGCTAATAGGGAGGGCAGAAGAACCTGGGGTGGGAATTCGAGAGGAAGCTGACCCCGGGGGCTGTGTACAGTGCCTGGCATGGCTGGGCGGGCTGCACCTCAGATCCAGGCCCAGGCGAGGAGACTCGCAGGGCGCGGCGTGGGTGGGAGTTCTGGGAAGGTTCCGAGAGCCATTAGGACAGGTTTAGACCCCTAGAATGGCGACCTAGAACTTAACACTTTGTGCCTCAGTTCTCCCCCTCTGTAAAATGGGTATGATAATGACTCTTGCAGGATCCTTTAAGAACTAAACGAGGCAAGGCAAGCAAAATACTTGGCGTAGTGCCTGGCTCATCATAGTCCCTCAATAAATGTTAGCAGTTACTACCATTTTCTCAGCATCTGCCCTTCACTGAGGAGGTATTAAGGAGAAGGGGCAAAAAAGCCTTTCCGAGGATGGGCACGGTGGCTCACACCTGCAATCCCAGCACTTTAGGGGGCCGAGGCGGGTGGATCACCTGAGGTCAGCAGTTCGAGACTAGCCTGGCCAACATGGTGAAATTGAAACCCCGTATCTACTAAAAAGATAAAAATTAGCCCGGCGTGGTGGCACGTGCCTGTAATCCCAGTTACTCCGGAGGCTGAGGCAGGAGAATCGCTTAGAAGCCGGGAGGCGGAGGTTACAGTGACCCGAGATCGCACCATTGCACTCCAGATGGGCGACAAGAACAAAACTCCGTCTCAAAAAAGCCTTTCTGAGACCGTCCTTTTTTTCAGCCCGGTTTCCACAACCGTTGGGAACCCAGGGCGCGCACCCGGCGAGGGGCGGGGCCTGCCGTTCCCGCCTCGAGTGTGGCCCCGCCTCCACCTCCTTCCGACGCAGCCTGTGGTGCACTTTCGGCGGCTTCCACTTCCCGGGCCTTCCAGCGCGGTCTTTCCGGGCCTCGCTTCCCCCAGCCGCTGCACCCCACCCAAATGAGAGTTTCTGGAGCCCCGGCTCGGGCGGTCTCCCGGGTGTAGACGCTGCTGGTCAGCCCGCCCCAGCCGAGGTTCTCGGCACCGCCTTGAGAGCTTCAGCTGCCCAGGGTGTGCAGGTTTGCTTTAGAGGGTCGGCGGGCGGCGCTGCGGGGAAGAGGAGCTGGGGAGAGTCAATCCGGCCAGGCCCGGGTCTTCGGCCGCGGAGGCCGTCGTCGCCCTTGGGAATCCTTGGCCAACCAGACAGAAGGAAAGTAGGCGCCGGAGAACCCGTTCTGCATTTTGATTCATCTCGGGCCCTGTAAGGGTCATATCTTGTGAAAATACCTGTAAAATCAATTTAACGTTCAGAGCAGCGTGTAAAGACAGCTCTAAGAATTTAAAAGACGCCTGAGTCAGAACATTTAAATGCTTGGGTCCCTGTAGCAGCGTTTTAACACGTCTGAGTGCAGAGGGTGGAGAATCGAGCCTGATTGCTGTTCACGCCCTGTAACCTTTAAGAAGCGTAAAAAAAGGCACCCTAAAAAACGCAAGGGGATACTTCCCCTAGGGAGGGAGGAACAGCTGGCTCTTTGAAATTTGGGGTTGGTCCTCATTTCTGAGAGCGAAATTTGCCTGCAAAACTTTTTATTTGCAGTCATAGGTCAACGATAAACAGAATTGTTAAAACACTGAGCTTAACTAAATAGTGGCTTTTGTTGACAAGTCGATTGTGTTATTAATTCTTAATGTCTCATACAAGGCAGGAATCGTTATCTCAGTTTTGCAGGTGGAAAAAGTTTGGCACAGAAAAAAGCATTTTCCTTAAGTTCACAGAAGCACCGGCCAAACTGCAAATTAAGTCCCAGCATTCTGCCTCCTCGGCTGCGTCCCTCTCTAGACCATGTTAGAAAACAAATGAGTAGTTACTTTGATGTTACTCATAAAACGGCGAGTAAACCAAATGTTCTATAAACATGAAGCGCTAAATCATAATAACCTTCAATGTCTGTTTGGCTTTGGGAGGCTCAGCTGCCCTTTGGAGTTTGATACCTTACAGGGAGGAGGGGCAGAGCAAAAACGTGAAAAATAATGTCAAAGGAAAAATGTTGTCTCCTGAGGCCAAACTGTGCCCATATTTACCGCCCCTCTGGGTTTGTGTCATTCGTTTCAGTGCACTCCATCTTCTGGCAAAACACCCGCAGCTCACATCCCTGCTCCAGCCACCTTACTCTTTGCATTACTCTCTTGCCACTGACCTCACTGTCAATCTTGTCAAGCTCTTTTGTCCAGGTGCTCGCTCTTTACTTAGGCTGTTATATGAAAACCAGTTGTTGTTCAAGTGTGGAATGATTTGTCATTCCTGAAGGATGATTCTAGAGTTAATGATTAAAAAAAACTACCAACAGATCTTAGATGAAAGTTGAAGCACACACAAAAAAACAATTATGGAATTTGATAGCTGAGTTATTTGACTGGGAGAAAAAGTAGACTTTGATCAATTTTTCCCTTTTCCCCAGTCATAACTGGAAAGCTGCAGTTCAGTTTTAACTTTGGCATAATGGTGGTAGTGGTGGAGAATCTTCTTGTTTAGACTTTAGCAAATTGGAAAGCTCTCTTTTTAGGATGCTCCTTTTGAACAGCTTGGAGCAAGTGGAAACACGTACGTTCTTAGAATGTGACATGTTTTGGCATTTGTAAGTCTGTCCACAAAACTTATGTAAGAGCTTGGGTGCCAGGATATGTGATATAGGCCCTTTGTAAAAGTCATCCTTGAGGTTCCTTCCCAGCTTATCGACCACAGAAATTTGAACCTAAGGTAGTTTCCTTGGAGCAGCCATCTATTTATTCATCTTTTTGTTTTCTTTCACTTGGTTCCACAGATTAGAATCCCAAGAAAATCAAATGGCATCCGGGGATTTCTGCTCACCTGGAGAAGGGATGGAAATACTTCAACAAGGTAAGAGTAGCCATTTGCAAAAGGTTTGATGATTTATCCAGAGAGGTCTTATCCAGGTTCTTGCCTTTTTTAGTAAAAAGGATTTATAAGTTTCCCCAATATGGTTTTCCTTACAGAAGCCCATGTTTCTAAGGAAACTAGAATACATGGAGATTCTGGAACACTCTCTTATTGGAAAACAGCTACACTAATTCCTGTTAATGTTGATTCAATATCTGTTAGTGCAGTAGGCTAAAAACTCAAGGTGCACCCATACTGATATTAGCAAGCGTACTATAAAGATAAGGGTAGCCAGAAAATTCCTTGAAGGCTTCCTTCCCACCTGTTTCTTAAATATTCTCATATCTTAGTCTCCAAAATTTCAGATCTTTCTATATCTTGGGTTCTTTCCATATCTCAAATCCTTTCTATATCTTGAATCTTTTAAGAGCTTGCATTTTTCTGTATCTTGACTATTTCCATATTGGATGATTCAGTACCTTAGGGAAAAAGAGAGATTTCTTATTTCTCAAAAAGACTTTGGTTATGATGTTCCAAAGAACGAAAATTTGAGTGTTTTGGTAAGTAGAGGCAAAAGATCCCAACAGAGAGCATATGGAAAAAGAAATGGCAAGAAAGCTCCTTGAACTTATGGAATAACCAGAGGATCTCAATTTCTTTGTTTGTTTTTGAGATGGAGCTTCGCTCTTGTTGCCCAGACTGGAGTGTAATGGCATGATCTCGGCTCCCTGCAGCCTCTGCCTCCCTGGTTCATGCGATTCTCCTACTTCAGCCTCCCGAGTAGCTGGGATTACAGGCATGTGCCACCATGCCTGGCTAATTTTATATTTTTAGTAGAGACGAGGTTTCTCCATGTTGGTCAGGCTGGTCTCGAACTGCTGACCTCAGGTGATCTGCCTGCCTCAGCCTCTCAAAGTGCTGGGATTACAATTGTGAGCCACTGTACCTGGCTGAGAATCTCAATTTCTTACACTTTTTCTCATGCTTATGCTGTTTTGGATCTACATGGGTTACTCAACTCTACTTACAATTATAACAATTTGGGCCAGCTGTGGTGGCTCACACCTGTAATCCTAGCACTTTGAGAGGCCAGGATGGGAGGTTCACTTGAGCCCAAGAGTTCAAGACCAGCCTGGGCAATGTAGTGAGACCCTGTCTCTACCAAAAAAAAAAAAAAAAAAAAAAATTAGCCAGTCATGGTGGCATGCCTTGTGGTCCCAGCTACTCAGGAGGTGGAAGGATTACTTGATCCAGGGAGGTTAAGGCTGCAGTGAGCTGTGATTTTGCCACAGCAGTCCAGTCTGGGTGACAGAATGAGACCCTATCTCAAAAAGAAAAAAAAAGAAAAATTGGTTAGTTGAATGTTTAACTTACTCTAAGTGTATTCTGTTAGTCTTGTTTATGCTACTAGACATCATATCCAAAGTTGGAACTTTACATGTTTTTTTTTCCCCCTTCTTCAAGAACTCTATTAATTCTGGGTGAATGAAGCATTTTCTGTATTGTGATTCCTACTAATGGTCTCTTAATTTTTACCCTATTTGTCTAATATGTACCAACTGCATTTCCATTTCCTAAGATGTTAGTTTATTACTTAATCCTTCTTAACATCCTTGTATATAATATAAATGTTACCTTGAGTATCACCCTAGTTTATTTGTGGATTAAAAAAAAACTCACTAGATTTAGCAGTCTTTCCTATGAGAATTCTAGGGATTTTTTAGAAGTATTAAGTTGTGCTCAATTGTGTTAAGTAAGAGTCTGTACCTTTTTTTTGCTTTTTTGTACCTATGGGGACATGACGTTTAGTGTGCAGCAAACAACTTCCTCCTTGTAACCTGAGTAAAGAGGACCTGTTACAGAACCCATACTTCAGCAAGCTTCTCCTGAGTCTCTCACAGCATGTGGATGAGAGTGGCTTAAGCCTCACCCTAGCAAAGGAGCAGGCTCAGGTAAAGGCTTTGGGAGAAGAGACGATAAGAGGAAGGGAAAGTCCTGAGAGAGAGAGGTTCCTACCTGAGATTTTTTGGATTTCTAGGCATGGAAGGAAGTTCGACTGCATAAGACAACATGGTTGAGGTCTGAGATTTTACATAGAGTCATTCAAGAGTTGCTTGTGGATTACTATGTGAAGATGCAAGATACAAATTTAACTTCTGAGGACAAAAAGGTGAGGCAAAGGGTGGGCATGGTGGCTCATACCTATAATCTCAGCACTTTGGGAGCCCAAGGCAGGCTGAACACTTGAGGTCAGAAGTTTGAGACCAGCCTGGCCAACATGGTGAAACCCCATCTCTACTAAAAATACAAAAATTAGCCAGGTGCAGTGGCACATGCCTGTAATATCAGCTACTCGGGAGGCTGAGGCAGGAGAATCGCTTGAACCCAGGAGGCGGAGGTTGCAGTGAGCCAAGATTGTGCCACTGAACTCCAGCCTGTGTGACAGAGCGAGACTTCATCTCAAAAAAAAGGGAGGCAAAAGAGATGAGGTGGGGGTTGGTTACTAGCTGCAGAAATGACCAGGCCGACCGTGGCTTTGTTTGATGATGTGATCTAGGGGAAGTAGGAGCTTTGAGAAATGGGTTGTCAAAAGAGAAATGGACTGTAGTTATGGGGAAGGAGTGGATGTGTTGTCAGAGTTTGAAATACAAACATTGACAGGAGAAGCCACTCACAGCTGAGTTATCTGAGGGGAGATGACGTATTTGAGGACTTTGAAAATATGTGAAAAACTGGTTCATGAGGTTGGAAGAGGTGGAGTGGGAGAAGTTTTATAGTCACCTTTTTTTTTTTTATTCTCTCTCTCAGTTTCATGAGACCCTTGAACAACGGCTACTTGTAACTGAACTGACTCGGCTCGTAGGTCCTAGCCAGGAGAGGGAGATACCTTCACTGCTAGGGCTGGAGAAGGCAGACCTTCTGGAACTCATGCCACTCTCAGAGGTTGGGGGAAGATATTGGAACCAAATAAATGAAATGGTTTAATTTCTCCCATATCTTTAAAATTGTTTCTGTTAAGCTTTATTGTTTTTGTAAAAATGATACACATTCAGGGTGGTCAGACTCATAAGAAAAACATTACACAGGGGCAAGTAAAAGCTGAAATACTATATCTAGAAGCACAATATCATTATAAACAGCTTAACATAAATGGTATTATACCCTTCATGCTTATATAGAGAGTATAAGGCCGAATGTAGTGACTTCTGCCTGTAATCGTAGCACTTTGGGAGGCTGAGGGTGGGAGGATCACTTGAGTCCAGAAGTTCAAGACCAGCCTGGGCAACAGTGAGACCTCGTCTCTAACAACAAAAAAAAAAGTTAGCTGGGTGTGGTGGTGCACACCTGTAGTCCCAGCTACTCGGGAGGCTGAGGCAGGAGGATCACTTGAGGGTGGGAGGTCAAGGCTGTAGTAAGCTGTGATCATGCCACTATACTCCAGCCTGGGCACATGGGCACTGAGTGAGACCCTATCTCAAAAAAAAAAAAAAAAAAAGAACAGTATTGTCTATTTTCATGTAATATATTAATATATTTTGGATTTCTTTTCAAGTCAATATATAAATAAGATGATACCTTCTATAGCACTCTTAGCAGAATGTTTAGGCACATAGTGCTCAGTGTTGGTATGTCATCAGTTTAAATCACTCCTAGGATTCTACTGTATGGATGTAGCGTAATTTGCTTACCATTACATTAATGGATAGTAAGGTTGTTTCCACATTTTTGCTGTTAGAAACCACATGGAGATGAACATGCTGGTTCATATGTGTCTTTACCTTTGTATGATTATTTCTGTAGTGTTGGTGCTAAAAGTGGGATTCCTGAGTCAGTGCATATTCATAGAATATTGGTACCTAATGCCAAAATGCTATCCAGAAAGGTATTTTCAGGGCTCCTGGATCCCCCATCTTCCCACCAACATGGGGTCTTGATAGTCATTTTATTCTTCACTAATTCGATAGGTGAAAAATGAGTCTCTCGGCTGGGCGCGGTGGCTCAAGCCTGTAATCCCAGCACTTTGGGAGGCCGAGGCGGGTGGATCACGAGGTCAAGAGATCGAGACCATCCTGGTCAACATGGTGAAACCCCGTCTCTACTA